ATTCCATCATTTTCTATTTTCTTTTATTTTGTAATCTATGTTGTCCTTAGATATGCTGAACAGTCCTTTCGTGATTGTTGTCATTTCTTTTTTTTTTTTAACCTGAGAGATTATTTCTAATCTGATTTCTTCTATAGCCTGATGAAGTTGTTTCTTTACTTCAGTTGCCATCATTTCAGAAATTTCATGTGTGTGAATTCCAAGCTCTTCTATGCCCTTGTCTCCTAAGTTTGTTCTGGGTGGACTGGAAGTCTAAAATTGCCTTTTGCTTCTTCATTTTGACATTTTTGAAGCTCCCAATGTTCACCTAAGCTCAGCAGCTTCTGTGGTGGGGGCATGCATCAGCTAGGCTCCCATGACAGTAGTGGGAGGCATCCCTCAGCTCAGAAAGGCTCTTGTGATGGTGGAGGTGCAGGGTAGGACTCCCACAATGGGGGAGTACTGTAGCTCAGTGTCAGAGTTGGGGCAGGACTCATCAGGGCTCGTTAGCTGTCTAGGACTCAGCCTAACTTCTGTGACAGTGGAGAAGGATGGATTGCAGCTCAGCAAACTCCCTCAATCATGGGGGAAGAGATACAGTAGGGCTCCTCTCATTACTTTATTATATGAAATAAGATTTTTTGGCCTTATATCATTATAGAGCATTACTAATTATACATTGTAGTATTTAAGTTATGGACATCAGGACAAGGGTAATGATCACACAGAATTTTAACTCCTCTTTTAGGAAGGGATTAGGGATCTTTTGATTATATGCAGGGAAGTGAAATCATATTAGGTGGAACTATTAACTTTTTTTCTCTCTTTTTAAAATTAAGTCCATTGGTACAATAAACTTCTGCTACTCGTGGAAGTGTAGAGTGGTCAAACCATTGTGGAAAGCAGTGTGGAGGTTACCATAGAACTAGGACTAGGGGTATCATTTGACCAGCTCTTCTTTTTCTTCTTCTTCTTCTTCTTCTTCTTCTTCTTCTTCTTCTTCTTCAGAACTGGGGGTTGAACTCAGGCCCTTGCACTTGCCAGGGAAGTGCTTATTCCACTGAGCCTGAGCCATCTCCCTGGCCCCTATTCTTCTTCTTGATATCTTCTTCAAAAACTTAAAAGCATGGTACCATAACAATATATGCACACCTATGTTTATAGTGGGACAGTTTGTAATTGCTAAATCTTGGAAACAGACCATGTGTTCAGCAATCAATCAGTAGATAAGAAAGATGTGAGTTTTTATGCAATGCAGCTATTAACTGTTTATCACTATTATTTGGAGATAAGGTAAGATAAGTAAAAGTAATTTGTACCTAGTTAACAAAGGGTGAACTTGTGATTCATTTCAGGTGTCAATTTAACTAAATCAAATGATTCATAGGCATTTGATTAAGCATTAATTATTCTCCAAATTCAGTAGCTTTGAATCCATCCCTCTTTTCCAGGAAGGAAACCCAGGTTGTTTGACAATTTTTGCACTAGTTGGACTGGTTGGGTGTGTCTCTGAAGATGTTTCCAGAGGGGAATGGTCTGTGACTCAGTGGACTGAATGGGGAAGATCCACACTCAATAGGGGCAGGCATTTCCAGTGGGCTTGGGATACAAACAGAACAAAAGGGCAAAGAAAAAAGAGGTTTTTCCTCTCTCTCCTGGAACTGGGGAAACCTTCTGCTCTTGGAATCAGAACTTCAGACTATCAAGCCTTTCTACTCCGAGATATACACTGATAATTTCCTGAACTATAAAACAGAGAAATAAACCATCAGTTCCCCTGGTTCTGAGGCCTCCAGACCTGGACTGAGCCAACATATAACACCCCAGAATCTTCAACGTGTGAGCAACCTATAAGAGGACTTCTCAATCCCTACTGTCATGTGAGTTAACTTCTCTAATGAGTCCCCTTTCATTTAACTGCATCTCTAGCTCATCTGTCTATATATCTAGATCTATGTCTATGTCTATATCTACATCTATCTATCTGTACCTATCTAATCTATCTGTTCAGACTGATATCCTTTAGGACTTGTTTCTCTGAGGTACCAGGACTACTACATGAGATAAGGAATATATTACATTGGAAGTTACATCTCAATACTTTGTAGGTACAGATTCCTGACAAGATTTATAAGGAGGTCTTCTCTTGTGCTAAAAGCCCCAAACAAAAATTTTAGACAAATATAATTCAGATGTAATTTATTAAATGAAACACTCTTCCTCTATCTAGATCGATCACATATTCCTAGGGGGAAAAATGTTGGGTTCTTCCAAGAGTAGTTCTGAAGATCCCAGCCTCATATGAAATAAAGGGACTGGGTAATTACAAAGAAGATGGATTTTTCAGACATGGGTGGCACCCAGGTCTCCAGAAGGTTGAGAGTACATCCCAGGGAGATCACAAAGCCCTGACCAGCAAGGAGTGTGGGTGAGGGCTCTTGCAGCACCTGCCCTTGGTACCTAAACCACCCAAGAAGGCCGGATCAGAAACATCAACTACACAGCGGCACATGACATGTATCCCTCTTTCCCTCAAAACACTGTGAGTTGAAGTCCTTTTTCTCCAGGACATAAGAGACTGTGGTTAGTAGTTGGAAATACTGATATTTCTTCTTCCTTCCATCACCTCATCCTCAAACTCCTACTTCATTGGTTTCAGCCACTCTTTTGATAGCAACAATAAATGCTGGAATTGCGAGAATTTCTTGATTGTTTTTCCCGGTTTGGACATTGATTACTGAATGAAAAATTTTATTCAGGAAATGAAGCAGTAAGAATCATAGCTTTTATATTGTTTCTATGTCATACATATTATAATGTTGGCCTTTGTTTTCCTGGTAGACACTAAATTCCTTGATGCTAGAATGAAATCTTATTCCTTGTTTTATACAACCTTCTCTGTGTCTGGCAACTACTTTGCCTTAGGATTGTTTAATATTAATGTGTTGAATGAAAATTTACTTCAGACTAAAAGTCTTGGAACCAGCTTGATTTCATTTCATTAAGAAATGAGTTCACTCCTCTTAATGACTGTTCCCTGGAACACCAAGCGCCCCAGATTTCATTTCTATTTAACAAACACAGCTGAGGATGATGGTGCACTCCTGTAATTCCAGCACTCGGGAGGCTGACGCAAAAATATTGCCACAAGTTTAAAGCTACACGATGAGTTCTAAGCCAGTTTGAACTATATAGCAAGATGTTATCTATAGAAAGCAAGAAAGCAAGAAAG